GGCTGAGAGGAACATCTAAGTAAGAGACAGCCCATAAGCAGCGTGCTGGGGAGAGGAAGCTTCCTGTTACTGGAGGCACTCGAGCAGAGAGGCAGGCAAGTAAGTGACGGGGAGGCTGCAGCAGTGTTCTTTAGGTTAGCAGCACAAAGAGATAGGCTTTGGAAAAGATCCCACAGTGCTGAGTCTGGAGCAAACAAGTGGGGCTGGCCGGAGAGGAGCTGCCTGGGGTCAGGGTAAGGATGCATGGTCTTTGCTGTGACCTTTGCCATGACCTTGTCAGGGATTAAATGTCAAAGGCACACTGACAGTATTTTAGTCAAACTGAGGCATTGAGGGAGAGGCCCTGAGACTGGGGGTGTGTGCTCGTGGACATGGGGATGGGGAGGGCTGTCCTGCAGCTAACTCTCTGTTAAGGGAGGGCCACCTGGAGTGGACAAGGGTCTTCTCTGCCTGATTTCAGGTCCAGGAGTGCTGGCCTGAGTCATTTGTAAGGCAACAATCTGGTAACATAGGTGAAAGGCATATAAAGAGGACTCCACCTATTTGAGGTACTGGCTGGGTATATAAACAGCTGGCCACTTTTATGGAGGCTGGGCCCTAGCCACAGAGTCAGATGGCTGCTTCATCATGACCTGAAAAGTCTGGGGGGGCTTGTGGAAACACTGTACTCAGAGGTGGGACTAAGGAGCCTGCACCCTGATGCTCTTCTGGCCTGTTCATGTGGGTTCACTGGGGGCTATGGGTGGTTGGGGTTTTTAGCAGAGGGACATCTCAGGCAGAGGAACCTGTGCTGTGCACTTTTTGTAAGCATTCTTCTGAGGTTGTTCCTAGTGTATATACTCTGCATAGGCATGTTATGTGTGAGTGTGTACATTTAGGGAATAGCTGAGAGGCTGACTGGGGTTTCTTGTCTGTGGAACAATCAGGGTGACCAGGCTAAACCTTAAGCAGGTCACATCTCCATGGAGAAAAAAATATTCAAAAGGAGCAGGGAAAAAGAATTTGAATATGACACAGTTGTTTGAGTAAAGCCCCTCTCGTTTCTGCTGCCAGAGTGTCCAGCTCCCAAAAGCCTCATCTGGGGGCCTCAAGGCCACTTGGCTGCTCTGACCCGCCAAGCGGGGGCAGCATCGTGTTGCAGGTGAGAACCAGGCTGCCTGGCCACTTCTGGGTTAAGGCTGCAAGGCTTGGGGGTGGAGTTTGCACTCACAGAGGCCCGATGTTAGGGTGTTTCAGTGGTGGTACTGTCATGCTGCTGGTTTTGTTTGGAGCTCTAGATGTGGACATTTGACATTTGGCGACGTGACATTCATATATGTCACTGCCTTTGCAGTATTGTGTGGGGGAGAGTTCCCTGTGGGACATGGATGAGGAAGGGAGCACACAAGCACACACACATGCACGTGCACACACACACACACACACACACACACACACACACACACACACACACACGCATGCATGCACAAGCACACGCACACATGTTTGTGAATAAATATTTCTGGTTAGAAGTGACTGAAGACCCTGACATGGCTCAGAAGTGATTCACTGGGAATCAAATCACCCAAAGTCCAACCCAGAAGCTGGGGTCAGAGGGCAACAAGCCCTTTAGCCCCTGCTGGGTGGGGAGGGGACACTCTGCCAGGCATGCACTGATAACTCCTGTTGCTCAAGGCACAGGGATGAAACACTGGCTTGAGGGAGCTGAGAAATGGGTTTCTGTGGAAAGCAGAGCCACACACAGAGGAGACGTCTGCCTGGCCAGTGAAGAAACCAAACATTGAAGAGAGAGGCGCCTTTGTGCAGGCAACCAAGGAGGAGGGTCCCTTCTGTGAAAGGGGTGACAGGCAAGTCGCACTTCCCCAAAGGGCCAGCACACAGAAGGCTCAGTGAGAGAGGGGCTGGGCTTCTTTGTGACATCGGGAAGCTAAGCTTTGTGGGGGTCATCGGGAGCCCCCACCACTGTTTGTCAGGAGTCATCCTTGCCAAAGGCAGTAAAATAGAAGACTCTAAACGCTGCCTGTGAGCAATCTGACTTCTTATATTTGTTTATATGAAAATAAGCTCTACTGTCCAGCAAACTACAGGAGACCCCAATTAAAGCAGTAGGGCAGCTGGGCTGGCCCCAGGTGTTGAAGGAAGGCACAGGGGTCCCTTGGGAAGATCTGCAAGGGCACAGGAGCTTGGGCAGGGGAAGCAGGAGGCTTTATGCATTCTAGGGGCTTTTTGTTTGCTTTTGTTAGTCTTGTTCTCTGAAAAGGCAGCGAGGCTAGCCTCCAGAGGGAAGGCACAGCCGGGTGGGGGATGCTGGGGGGAGGGGTTGGGGGATCTGGCTGGGCTGGGCTGGGCTGGGCTGGGAAAGCTCGGGGTTTTACTGGATATCCTGCATGTGTTACTGCACTAGATGATTTATTTGAATTATTTTCTCACTGACATCTCAATGGGCCTGTGTGAGAGAGATTGTGGATGTAAAAAAGAAGGGAAAGAACCAAAGCACAGAGACGCTTGCAAGCTAGCTAAGGACACACAGCTTGAGTCTGCTCTGTGCCTGGATTAGAGCTAGGGATGGCTACTTGCAATTAATTCCTGAGCCTACTCCCATGCCAGGAAAGAAGGGGCACCAACCCATCTTCACCCTACACACACAGACCAAGTCCTTTGTCTCTAGAGGCAAGGTTGATGCAAAGACAGACATGTCCACTCTCAGCCCTGTATGTTCTACCCCCAGAGCTATTGCTCCAGCTATCATCTGCTCTATCCTCCTCCTATATCCTGGGACAAAAGGGCAAGGAGCAAACTATAAGACAGATGTATTACCAAGCTGTAGTTAGGCTGTGAAATGTATCGCGGGGTTCTCAACCCATGAGTATGGTGTGTGTGTGTGTGTGTGTGTGTGTGTGTGTGTGTGTGTGTGTGTTCGCACATATGTGGAACAATACGTGTTCAGTATTGCGGCGATATGCAGACTCACCAGCACCACACAGCCTGTGACACAGCCCTCTGACCAGGGAAGGTCTCAGAAGTCAGTCTCTGGAAACACAGACAGGGTTTCTGGAGGGGACAAAAGAACGGGTGATTAACATCTGATCCCCTCAGTTAATTACAGGGGAAGGGAAAAACCTTAGAATAGGGAATCTTATGGGCAAGGCACCACAGTTCCAGTGACCACGGTCTGAGGAATTTTGGACATAGGTGGGGCACATATCTTACTAGGGGTTTACTGTTACTATTACTATTATAAATATTACTATTTAACATTGGGGGTGGTATGTCAAGGTTGTTCATAACCCTAAGCACAGTCTGTCCAGTGAGGACATAGGGTGATAGAGCATGAGGTTGAGCCAGAGGCTCAACAGACTTAAGTATCAGGCTTTTTTCCTTTTATTTTTCCTTTTCCCCTTGGATGACATCCCGGAAGCTGTGGGAAGTCAGCTAGAGGACTGGATTGGAAGGTGAGATGGTAACAAGGTCAAAATGGTATTTCAGAAAGATCGTTCAATGAAAATAAATCTGTGCAAACCATTTACTCAGCTATCCCCCCCACTTCCTCCCATTAAGGAGCTGGGGTAAACACAGTCAGGGATGTGTTCAAAAGCTTAGCTACCAGAATGTTCTCTGTGGTGCTATCAGCAATGGCATAAAATGAAAACAGCTGCCGGGCGTGGTGGCGCACGCCTTTAATCCCAGCACTTGGGAGGCAGAGCCAGGCGGATCTCTGTGAGTTCGAGGCCAGCCTGGGCTACCAAGTGAGCTCCAGGAAAGGCGCAAAGCTACACAGAGAAACCCTGTCTCGAAAAAAAAAACCAAAAAAAAAAAAAAAAAAAAATGAAAACAGCTTAGGTCTTTTTAATTGACCGTCAGTGGAGCTGAATCACATTAACTAAAATGTGGGTGTGCTGCATGCCCTTCTCGTTGATCCGTGTAGATACCACCTTTATTTATGTATTTGTGGTTTTATTTTTTAAATATTATAATGAGCAACCAGGAACCCATGACCTGCCCTGATGAGTAGGGTTTTGACCAGGCTCCTATCTGCACATTCTCTCAATGAGAAAAGCACAGCTGGGATTTTCAATAATAAAGACACAGCGTGGCATACATATGCCGGAATATTAAACAGCTCTTAAAAAGAGGAAAACAGATAGACCTATTGTCTTTTAATGGACCTCTGGATTTCATAAAGAACCAGATTAATCATGATCCTTTGTTCATAGACACTGTCCTATCATTGGATGAAGGCATATCGCCTTTTATTCTGATAATGTATGCATTCATACATTCATTTGAATTAATGTCATAAATACTCGTGAGCTCACTCCCCAATTCCAAATAACTCAATAATTACTTACACCTGCCAAGATAAAGGACCCCAGATTTCAGGGAGGCAGTGAGATGGTTAAATCAACTCCAGTGTGTACACCGTTTGGGAATCTGAGGTGCTGGTTGTCATAAGGAAGGCTATGGATCTTTATTATTGCCAAGTACATTCTGGGGAGAAGAAAAACAAGCTGCTACAAAATGCACAAGGAAAAACACTAGCTCTGAAATCGCCCCCATACAATAGAAACAAAGTCATAGACTCTGGTGGTGTGCTTATTAGATATATGCAAATGGACAGGAAAATGCAGGAGCCCCTAATTTGAGGAGGGGATAGAGGGAGAGGCTAAGTGCTTCCACCACCATATTAATTAGCAGTACGTTTCCTGTATAACTACAATAAATATTTTGTGTGGTAGTTTTTATGTAGGTTATTTTTTTTATTTGTTTGTTTAGAGTTTTTTTTTTTTTTTTGGCTTTCACAAACAAAAAACAAATCCAACAAGCATTTTAGCTGACAAATTACAAGTCAGTTATAGGTGTGCAAAGCCCGTTCTGTACACACAGGACTCAAGGTTTATCTTCCTTTTTTTCTTTTCTTTTTCTTTTTTTTTAAAGCTGCCCTCCCTGTGCAGCTTTGTCAGTGACATGTAGCCGGCAGGTGTGAGCCTCAGGCGATGATTTCACCACCGTGGTCTCCCGCCCTCAGTGTTTGCAATGTACCCATGGGGGAACATTTTCCTTTTCGGTCCTTAAGAGGCCCAGAAAGCTAATGCGCTGGCCCGTGTTCTAGGGGATTAGCTGTATGGAATGAGAAGTCCAAGGGAATGTGACTTGAGATAGATGTTGGCAGAGGGGACATGGGCCTCTGGAGAAATGCAGACACAGCAGCCCGAGTGTGTCAACAGTGGAGCCTGCTTGCTGGCAAAGAGCCGGGGCTTTGCTGCGTGCCTGGACAGTTTGACTCTCAAGCAGCACGTACTATTACCATGTACCTCCGGCGTCTAACCCTCACGGTCCTGCATCGCCATTGCTAACCCACAGGTAGTGCATGGCACCCTGAACTCCTCCTCCTCAGAAGTCCCTTTCTTTCCAAGGTACCCCGAGTCCTGCTTGCAGGCTAAGCTTCAGACCCAGCTAGTGAGGTCCCTGCAGCTGTCACAGGCTGTCAGATTCTCAGAACACGCTTAGGGTTGAGTCTGTGACAAAGATAATATGATTACACCCACATCTTCAGAGAAATGCCTGAGGCTCAGAGACCCCCAGAACAACGACCAAGAAAATTAACCCTTCCTAAACTCAGCAGTCTGAAACCTCGTCCACCTTTGTCCTTGCAAAGCCACGTTTTCATTTACTGGATAACAGCCTCCTCTGAGGAAATGCAAACCAGTTTCCCACCATGATTTTAGGCAGGAAAAAAAAAAAAACTGAGGCAAGTTAACTAGCCTTCTGCCTTCATGGCCAGCCCTTAATCATCTCTGTCACACTTGAGGTTCTGCTGTTTCACCCATAGGCTTTGTGGAGTGGGTGCAGTACCTGAGAATACCTTAAAGCTAACAGGCAAGGATCTGCCTGTTTCATTTTGCATCTCACAAATGCAAAATATTTTTTATGACAAATAAAAAACAGAATCCAGATGAAACTCCCTACACTTGGCCTGCAGCCCAGGGTTACTTCCACGTGGACACAGATAGCCTGAAGAAGCCTGTGGAAACCCAGGGAACACCCCGAGAGAGCCTAATGCTGCCTTCCTGTTTGAGCCTCTCATCCGTTTTCCTCTTAGCTCCAAAATGCTGAGATGGGGGGCTTTCCGATGGGTCCACAGGAGGAAGGACCCTCCTGAAGAGTCACCTGTGTGTGCCACAGGGGCTCCTCACCAGTCCGCCATTTTCTATCTTGTTCTATTTCAGCTACCAAGACTTGGGCATAGCTGCCCCAATATTGCAGAAGGGGGAACTAGCTACAGGCAGGGTTCCAAGGTCACCCACCTTCCACGGAGGGCAGATTGTCCTCTCTGACCCTATATGAGTCTCTGCCCCCCATCAGGGAGTCATAGTGGTCATCCTCACATCAGGTGATGGGTAGTAAAGCCTCCCTTGGTTACACAGAGAGAGAGACAGGGACATCAGCTTGTTAGGGCTGTGTGACCTCCACTACTCTAGAAGCCCCTTCCCCCCAAAACAGAACAGAAAGCAAAAGGAAGAGGTATGTACATACCTGGCAGGGTACTGAGTCTGGGCTGCTGGCTCCCCGAGGTCACACAGGACAGGCCACCCTGAGAGGGACCAGGGCTCCCCCAGGAATCACTGGCTCCCTGCCCCCTTAAGGGGGCAGGGAGCCCCAGCTGCAAAATGAAGGGTTTCAGTTAGTTCCATTCTGGAAAATCCACAAATTTGCAAATTCTCTAAATTAACATGTTAGAAGGAAAAGAGACCATTTCACAGACCTTTTTTTCTGATCCTGGCCAGGCATCTGCTCCCTTCCTGGGAGAAAGCAGCCATCTTGTCTCTAGGCTACCTAGAAGAGGAGAAATCACTAAATATGAGAGTCAGGAGTCCCCTGCCTCCCTGGGCCTTTGACACAAGCCTAATTACCACTAGTAGACCTACTGTGTGCCTGAAGCAGATGAGAACTGCTGACCACCACCATGATTAAAGAGTTCACTGTGGACTGGATTCAGCATAAGGAAGAGGGGACCATCCTGGAAATATTCCAACAGTTGTCCCTGGCAGAAAAGGTTATCAGGAGAGGAAACTGAGTGCCAAACTCACATCAAATCTTTATCTATTTGCTGGAGAACTGAATAGGGGTCCTCTGTGAAGAGATGGCTCACCAAGTTCAGGAGCCCATCTCAAGGCAAAAAGCTTGGCACACAAGTACAAGCATGGGCATGTGAAAGCTGGGGCGCTGGCTGAGGCATGTCATGAATTAGGCTTTGCTTGGCCATCAATAGGGCCATCGGACCCACACAAATTAGCAAGCAATAAGACCCCAAGCCTCACATTCTTCTCTTCCAAAGTGGAAATTTGCTAAAGCAATGCCTATGTAAATTATCCTAAGGAGTGAAAGAATTCAAGTGTGTGAACACTCACCAGACATGTCTGACAAACGGGAAATACACAGGACAGAAAAGATGTCTCAAGGCAGGAATCCTGTTCTGGGGACTAGGCGAAGGGACTGGGGAGTTGCCACTGGATGATACCTTCATAACTAAGAAAATACATTCATCCAACAGCTTCCGGAAAGAAGAGAGGGTTGAGTCCAGCAGGACCACAGGAGATCCACTTGGACACTTGCGGCCAAGGTAAGCAGGGGTAGGGGGCCCATGCTGGCCTCTGCCCAGTGGAGAAGGGGGCACCTGGTCAATGGATAGGGTAAGGCCATGCTAGGGACTAAAAGTTAAGGGGTTAGTCTGGACATGTTCTGGGGTACTCAATACCACTGTTCAAATACTTGAGAAGCTATAATTAGAGACTCAGCCAGCTGTCTTATCCCATCCTGTCCCTCTGCTGACACCAAATAGGACAAAATGAATTGGGAATGACAGCACAAGCCTTTTGGGGAGATGGAGGCAGACACTAAGGCCCCCACTTCTGTTTCTAGCTGCCTGTCAGACCACGAGACTGACTGCATCAACAGCCTGGAATGAAGGCAGTCTTTGGCCACGAGGCCCTCCACATCCCCAAATGGCAACTGCATGATCCCTCTTTGGGCACCTGTTTCTGCCTGTGCCATCTACCAGGGGAGGGGGAGAAACCTGGCTCAGAGCCCTGCCCCTGTCTCTGCCTCTGCCTTCCCGGACACTGGAAGTCAGCACCAAGCCCTCTAAAAGTCAGTTTAATTCCGCAAAGTGGTATGCCACCCCTCCAATGATGGCATTAAAACTAAGATAGAGCTTAGTGCTGGGCAGATTTCACTATGATTAGAAAATTGTAGTTAGTCCTGTCTGAGGCATGGGGGTTCCAGGTGTGGCTGGACCACCCTAAGTCTTCTGCATGGCCATACCCTGTCCCTTGTAGAATGGTTATCAACCACTCTTTGCAGCGGGTAAGAGTGGTTGTCACTGGATTGGGTCTGCATTCTTGCCACTGATAATTAAGGGTCCTGGACAGAAAGTCCACCTTTTTAATCTAGTGTATTCTTTTCAGTGCAGAGCTTGTTCCTGTCATGAGGCTAATTGGAAAATTAAAGTTGGCACCTTATGTACAATGCTGGTCTAAATCTCGACCCCTGAAATTAGAGTGGGTGTTCTAAAAGCAATAATCAGATAAACCCTAGTAACAAGAACTCATGCACAGTTTTTCACAGTTTACAAAGGGAACACCTCCTTCCCTTTCTAAATGGGCGAAGAGCGGGTTGTAGGGCTGACCACCCTCTCTCCCTGGCCCTAGCCCTACCTCTCAGAACCCTTAGGATGGAGTCTTCCTGCCTTGAAGTCACCACCTCCAAGATTCACCATACTCCCACACCTACACCTGCAGCCCTCAAGGTGTATCCATGTAGCCTTCGTAGCACCAGGCATGGTAATGGAGCTTGCCAGAGCCAGACAGGAGCTGTAAAGTCAAGGCAGATGCCAGAAGAAGCCAGTCTGTGCTTTCAATCATTGCGTAGATTGAGAGAATTCTATTTAAACAAAGCTAGGACCGTAATTTCTAGATGCAGCTATTAGAACTGAGGAAGGGTAGGATTCCTTGATCTCCATCTACTCACTCAGGGCCTACCTTTGCCTCCACAGACTGGGTAGCCACCAGGCATCACTCAGAAACCCCATAAGAAAGTTAGAAAGCCAAGGGGAAACTGAGGGCCAGGAAAAGAAGGTCACATGGAAAGTCAAGGCCCAGCAGGGCTGGTAGTTGCGCAGAATCCATCCCAATCCAGGTTTCATCTCTGCCCACGCGCCTTGAAAGGAAAGTTTAGGCAGAGGAGCCGCTGATTGGCTCTGCAATTGGAGCAGCCCCTAGAGGAAGGGTGTGCTCCTGCACAACCCCACAGCCCCTCCCAGAGTGGCATATTCTCCCCCTCCACGGTTATTCTGGGAGAGTGATCCAGCTGCCCCCCAGCTGCCAGTTAAACAGGCATGGGCCAGGACACAATGCGGCTGGGTCAAGGGCACCACTCTTCCTCTGGATGGATAGGCAAGCAACAGGCTGAGGGTCCTCTGCTAGAGGCTTCCAACCCTGGTAGGAAACCCAAGATCGAAAGAGTCCTCCATCTACTTTGATTCACTCTCTACCCAGAGTCATGGGATTCCCCCTTCAAAAAACTTAGTTGCTCCATCATGGAGATGAAGGCCTGCTGATCAAGGATTCCTATCCAAACCACAGGGGTGGGGGCGGGAGGAGTTTGCTTGTTTTACCAAGCAGAAAGGTGAAGGGTCTCTCTATCGCAGATGTCCAAGTCAGGGTGAAATGGGTAGTAGTGACCTAGATATGGGCTGGGCCCAGCCTGCTCACTGCAGATTCTAAGGCCGCTGAGACCATGACATCTCACCCACGCTCCTTGTGGGGCTTTGGGCAGTCCTGCTGAGGGCTTTGGGAAGTCCTACTCCCTACCAGAAACCTGAATAAGAAGAGGGGCCAATATAATCTTTTCCACCAGAGAAGCCAGCAAGGATCCTAAGGTTCTGCCTGCCAAGGACACATCTTGACTGTAACAGGTCTAATAAAATAAATGAATAACATAATTTGTATTCTTCACTGTCCTTACATGTCCATCCTGGTACTCCATTCCCACCCATGGCACCAGAAGGAAAGACGGAAAGATAGTAATTCTAAGGGAAGTTATCCTTTAAGACTTAATGGCTGTGTCCCTCACACTTAAGAGCCTCTGAGTGTCCCATACAAATCCAAAGTAACAGGGGTCTCCACTTGATGCTCATCCCACACTCAAGACACCAGTTATAATAGGACAGGTCTCTGAGAGCCATGGCTGCCCTCCTCTCCACTGCTTGACTTCACCCGCCTCCTAAACTCCTGCGGGGGGCTCCCACCCTCCTCCCCTGTCCTCACCTTTCCCCTAATTCCTCCACCCCTGCCCCCCAGCCCATGCTCAAGCCTCAACTCTGCTCCTAAATATCTTCTCATCTCCTCTTCCAAGCTCTATTTTTAAAATCAGATTTCCTTTACTGTACAGGGAAAGGTATTCGCTGAGGGATTTGCCCCCCCCCCGCCCCCCCCCCACTCAACCCTTCATAGATGCTCCGTGGCAGGCCTGACCCCATGGGCCACTTGCTCAGAGGCAAGCAAGGAGCTGACCTGACCGAGTCTCGGGACACTAACAGTGGTGAGACTGGGGTGTCTGTCTTGAGTGTTGCGGGGTAGAGGGTCACAACAAAGACCCAAAGGGAAGCTCCAACCCTAAGTGCTAGATCTAGATTTTAATAGGAATTTCAAAATGAAAGGTTTGAGAACAGACATTGAGATGAATCTGAGGGACAAAGAATGTTCCTTCTACATAGCCTAGAGGCATGCAGGGTGGGCTGGGATAGAGCAAGAGCCAGAGGAAGCCTAGGTTATTGTCCAAAGACATCAGAGAATAAGGAGGGCATTTGTCAAGCCCCAAGTCTACCCAGAGAGGCAGATCCCTGAGCTGGGCCACCTGGTGTAGATGGTCCTTCCTCTTGCTACAAGGAGCTCCCACTCACCTCCAGCAGAGACTTATTGTTCAGGGTGCAGTGTTCACCCCCTGGCTGCTGTGGGGCTGCACAGTGGTACCCGTCTCCAGTACTGTGGGGTCCAAACAGGATGCCTAGGGCAGAAAAGAATGGGAAAAGACTGCTGGGTAAACTAATGGACTGAAGATTTTAAAAAAATACAAAGCTCTGGAAAACAACGAAGTCGAAATGAGTTTAGGATGGGGGACACGAGACTCAGTCTTTCTAGAGAAATGCCTAAGGAGAAACGAGGAGGGAAGCCATAGATGGTTAAGAGTTTTTATTTCATGCAAAACAATTTAAGCTCTAGATTCCCAAGCGTACAGAGCAATCTATATGTTTTCAACAAGAGATATACTCGCTCCAGGCTCCATTCAGCACTGGGGCACTTGGATTTTATGCCGTGGACATGAAATTTTAAGGATGGAAGCTAAGAATGCCATGATTAAATGAGAGTGTCACTCAAAGACAGTGGAACTTTTTAGCATTGCTGGAAACGTGTGAAAAGATCTTAAGTGGGAGCTTTATTAATTGATTATTGGGTTTCTGAGGTAGAAATCTGCACTTTATTTTGAGGGGTGATGGTATCAAAATTTTCTATCACACTAAGGGCTTTGGGCTTCTGCCAAAAGGCTTTAAAAAACTTAATGGTGAGATTGTTTGCTTGTGGGAGATAAGCTTGTAGAAAGCATGATAAAACATGTTTTATGGCTAACAGCTTTGGACTTTATTATTACAAGCAACAAGAAACACTGAGAAATCGTAAATAGGAAAGTTAACAGGCACACATTTAAGGATCATGCCCAAACATTCTGACTCTGTGTTGAGGGAATGCCAAAGTTTGACTCTCAGGGCATGCCAAGAAGATATGATTAATGTTGACACTGAGGAAAGGTTTTAATTAGAGGAGTTACATGACCGAGATGGGGACTGTGCAGAGAAATTTGGAATTTATTTAGAGACTCTGACGTGATGAAGTTTTTGCACATGCTTAAAAATTTGATTTATCCAATTCTAACGGAGTGACATGGTGAGTTTTTTTCTGTTTGATAGATACAACATAGCACGATTATGAAATCAAATTCTCGCTGTATGCCAAGAATCTGGACTTTTTATGTCGTGCACAATTAAGAGACATTGCAGGGGTTTTTAGGTGGAGTTACAAACTCAGATTTAATGAACTGTGCTAAGACGTGTGAATTTTATTCTAAGGGATGGCACACCAGATTATAATATCACTCTAATAAGTTGGGATTTAAGCCAATAAACGGCTTAAAAGTGTGATGGGGAAGATTTGTTGGTTGTTTTTTGTTTTGTTTTGTCCAGCCTGGAGGTAAGTGACACGATAAGATACTGCACTGTCTGTTAAGAATTTGGGGATTTATGCTACAAAGAAACTTTGCAACGTTTTAAATCTGGGAGTGACTCCTTACGGTTTATGAATTCAGCAGAGGGGAAAGTGGATATTACAACATGGTTAGAGATGTGACTCATGTCCACATCGAAGGCACTGTTGTATCCTGAGTGAGGGGTGAGATATCATTTTTAATCCTTTTGTGTGGGGAGGGGGATGCGTGGAGTTTGGCCAAGAAAGGGATTTAAGGAGTGAAATGGTCAGGAGTTTTGTCTCCCGAAGAATTTGATGATTTAAAGCATGCTGTATGCTGAGGTGTGTAGATTTGATGAGCAGTTCAATGCAAGGGTGAATGTCCACTGCCCCTCAGCACAAGGGCATCCAGGGAGGCTTCTGTGCTGAGAAGCTGGGTAACTTACATCATGGGCTGAGAAGTTAGATGACATTTACATAGCATGTCAGGTTTGGACACGGTTTTGAGGAATGCAAGGAGTACACTGTCATGCCAGGCTGAGGAATTTGGACTCCCTCCATGATGAGATTTTAGGAGAATGACATCATGAACTTTGTGTGTTGAATAGGCTCGGTCTGCTGAGAAATGTATGACTTTATGATCACTTTCAGGCTTGATCTCATAGGTAAGGCAGAGACTTTGTGAGGCTGTAAGCAGAAGTTTACACAAGTGAGTGCATGCATGTTACAAGAAGTATGAGCTTTTGTTATCATGTAAGATCTTTGGTGTGAAGGCAGTCAAGTGTTTCTGGGGTGAGCTATGAAACTGTGAATTTTGTATTGATTAGCTACCAATTAAACCACATGGTTAAAAAATTAATTTATGCTAAGCAATTGGAACCTCATAGTATAGAGAAGAAATGTGTATGTTAAATAGGAAACCATGAGATAAATATTGTTTATTCTGTTAAAAGTGTAAATTCTGATATCCAGGCTTATTAAGATATTTAGAAAGTGAGATTTTTGGTTGAAGGCTGGTTGAAGGGAAGCAGAAAGATTCAATCATTTACGTAATCGAATTTGTTAATCTCTATGTGTAAACTTTTTATTAAGAAGGTGAATATTCTAATTTGTTAATCAGACTGCTGCAAATTTAAATTGTAAACCATGAGGTTAAGTGGGAGACCTGCTGAGATTTTTATGTCGGACAGATGAACCTGTAGATGAATTAATTAATTTTTATATTTCAATAATAGTGCATGCCGTAGAGGACTTTTATGAAGAGGAAATGAGTTGATTTATGCAATATGCTGTGCATGTTTCTGAGATGGCTGTTTTACCTAATTTGTACACCAGGTTTAGAAACTGTGATCTCTACCTCCAGGAATGACAAGTCCAACTTGTGCATTACTCTATGGCCTTTCAATTTTAGCCAGAGAATGGTTTTTGGTTAAGTTTACATGTCAGATGTGTTTATACAAAAGGTTTGGATTTAATATTGCAGACAGTAAATAAACAGTGAGAGGCTTTAATCAGAGGAATTGCATGATCAAATTTAAGTGTCATGCTAACAAGGGTATGTCTAATTCTGAGAAACTGCAGATCCAAATGTTTTATCCTGCTGGAAGGTATGGATTTGAGCCAATGGTAGTTTTACATAAAGGACAGCATGGAGATTTTTGTTTATTTTATTTTGGGGTTTTTGGTTTTGGTTTTGGTTTTTGGTTTTTATTGTTGTTGTTTGTTGTTGTTTGAGTGTGTGTGTGTGTGTGTGTGTGTGTGTGTGTGTGTGTGTGTGTGTGTGTGTTTTGATAGGTCAGCCTAGTAACCCTAAAAGAAAATTGAGAAGTAACAGAAGGTGTTGAATTTATAAAGACAATAGTCGTACGGCTGGGATATTCAATAGCCTAATTTGTTTTGTAAACCAATACATTCCTTTAAATTCAATTTCCGTGCACTAAATCCTCCCATGGCCAGATTTTCAAAAATTCCAGGACAATCAGATTTCAAAGGTCTCGGGCCCTCCTCTCCCCCGGCTTTGTAAGTCTGCTAGATACACCCCCGTACTGGAGGAAATCAACGGTGACAGAGAGAAGGGGGTGCTTTCAAAAATGAGAAGCCCACCCCTGCCTGAGCAGAGGGGAAACTTGGAAAGATAGGATCCAAGAGGCAGGCAGAAATGTTTGCATGAGCAGAATTGAGGCCAGATGTTTGAAGCTCCAGGAGCCCTGCAGACCAGGGCAATTCTGGAGGGTAGATTTTTGAAAAGCTGGGAAGGGTGTTTGGAAACCTCCGTCTCAACACTGGAGAGATCGTGGCTTTGGATAGAGATCAAATTGAGAAATGAAATCTACCCCATCCCACCCCCCAAGTATGACCAAGGATAAAGCAACAAAAGTGCAAGCTTTCAGCACACAGTAGGCATTTTATAAACGTTTATGGGGAGAAAATTAAATCCAAAAGTCATGCTCTCTCCCACTTATTTCGACTTGGAGCCTGGAGGAGGAAATAAGAGCTATTTTTGGCTGCTGACCCAGCTGGCAGGGCAGTGGCCAAGTGCCCGATTTCTCCTCTTTCCCCAGAGTTTGGGAGACAGCAAGCATCTCACTGTGGAATCCCGCCTCCAACTGAGCGTGCTGGGCTGGCTCCAGACCACCAAGCCTGCCAGTAGTGGCTTCGAGTGGCATTGAGATGTGACCTTATGACTTTCGGGTGACTAGAGACGGGAAGGGAAACTGACCAGGCATGGATGCCAGGGCAAAATGGGCCAGAAGTGTGCCCTGCCAGGTGCCTGCTTGCCACAGAGGACGCTCTGGGCCAGTTGCTCCACAAAATTTATGGACTGTGAATTTCTCATTCCAGTGGAGGAAGTAGGCAGGCGGGGCAGTCAGACTCTCAGACTCCGCCTGGGAGGCAGGTCAGGGCTTGAGCCTCTCCCCTTGAGGTGCTCCAAGTGACCAGAGGAGGAGACTATATTGAATGCAGGGAGAATTTCTCTGGTTTCTCTCTGATTCTAATTACTTGGGCGTCTGGTTTGTCCTTGAGAATCTGACCCTGACGTCTTGAGACTCTAAATTGCTGCTTTTCCTCTTGCTTTTTATCCCTTCTGCCCCTAGGTTCTGATCTCCACGGTCGCGGTCTCTGACCACACACATTACAACCTTACCTGTCTTCAGAGCAGAGTCCTTTCCAACCGACGACATGATAGAACCCTCTGAAGACTCATTTGAGACGATGATGGAGCTTAATAATCCATCATCAAAACAAATGGAGTCCTCCGAGGGCTCATCCAACACCGTTGAGGAGGCACCGGGCAGCAGCGGGGCACAGGCGCAGGCAGAGGCGGGCTCAGACAGCGGCCCAGCCCAGGAAGGAAAAGAGCCACCCAGTGGCTCGACCCAGGAAATGCAAGAGCTGCCCATTGATCTATACCAAAACTTGGAGGAGCCATTCAGTGGCCTGTATGAGGAACGAGAGAAGCTGCCCACTGATCTTCTCCAAGACATGGAGGAAACCAGTGGCCCACGTGAGGAACGAGATGAGCTGCCCACTGATCTACTCCAAGAATTGGAGGAGTCATCCAGTGGCCCATTTGAGGAACGAGAAGAGCTGCCCACTGATACACTCGAAGACGTGGAGGAACCTTCCAGTGGCCCACGTGAGGAACGAGAGGAGCTGCCCACTGATACACTCGAAAACGTGGAGGAGCCATCCAGTGGCCCACCTGAGGAACGAGAGGA